GGTGTGAGTGTAGATATAGCTGAAAAACAAAGACACACCTATACGCACACTCACACCCACCAACACCTACAGTCCACAATGGACACAGAAATCAATGAACATCTTAAACGTTAAGATCTACAGAGAAAGTACTTGTGTAAATAAAAAGCTATACCTGGTGAATTGCGATGAAAAGTTCTGAGATTTGACTATTGAGTATAAGAAATGTGAATTCTAGTTTCACTAAAAAGTGAGCGTGAGGAAGAGTGCTGCATTACTGTCCTTACACAAACCTGCAAGACGAACGAGAATGAAGAATTATCTCTCTGATCTGAGCGCTCTTTCATTTAGAGAAAAGAGAGTTTTCATTATTATTTTGAAACTCACATGATGCAACCAGTGACCCTCCTCTCATCACTGTATTCTTAAGAAATTAAATTACGTTTCACAAAAAATATCAATTTCAAAAAAACAAAAGGATTAAATCAATGAAAAACGCAATAATAACAATTATCGCCATCGCACAGAGTGTAATTGAATATTTTCAAGGCTATTGTTCTTAGAGAATCTTATGACACGTCCTTCAAACAGCCTATATAAGTAGCTTTAGTTTCGACGATTATTTAGTTCTGACATAAGCTTCAAAAGCAATATTTAACGATGCTATTAGTCGCAACACTTCTCATCGTTCTTGGTACTAGTGCCTATGGTCAACTTCAATTGACAATTCGTGACAATGGAAAATTGTGTTCCCCATGGATAGCGGTAGATGGTGGTCAAGTATCACTGTCATATACACAGAATCAAGAATGTGCCGGACAAGTTGGTTTTGAGCAGGACAATATGCGAGTTCGTCTCTGTTGTCAAGCAATGGCTACAACTACATCATCACCTATCTTTCCTCGTGAATGTGGTAAACAACAATATCAACCATCCAGACCACGTATTGTTGGAGGAACACATGCTCATCCAAATTCATGGGTAAGAGAAGAAAGTAAAATCTAGCTACTCACTATACATTCCGTCTTTCTTTCTTCTAGCCATGGCAAGTGCGTATACAAGCTGGTAATGGTCTCTGTGGTGGAACTCTAATTGATACACGACATGTTTTAACAGCAGCTCATTGTTTTCAAACACCAATTGTTATACAAAATCATATGGTCTATGTTGGTTTGCATGATATTAATCAACCAGTCTATAGTGAACAGAAAATTGTTGCAGAACGAATTTTTATGCATGAACAGTACAATGCAGAGACAAGCGAAAATGATGTTGCTATTATTCGTCTTTCAAGACCAGTGACAATTTCAGACAAGATCAATATTATCTGTTTACCAGGTCCTGAAGCACACAATGAGAATGAAACAGTTTGGGTTGGTAAGTAATTACTATCGCTCTTTCCTTTTCAAAGCAAACAAATATTCAACTCCATTTTCTTCAGCTGGTTGGGGTACAACATCATTTCAAGGTCAAGTAAGTCCAGTTTTGAAACAAGCAGCATTGCACACAATGCCAGCACGTTGTGGAAGAATCTTTCCATCTTATGATAATCAAAAACAAATGTGTGCTGGTGCTCACGGCGGAGGACATGATACATGTCAAGGTGATTCAGGAGGACCATTGATGTACGAATCAAATGGACGATGGTAAGTGAGCTCTTTCTTTCATTTTTCTATCTCACGAAGATGTGTCTTTTCTGCTTTGTTTTAGGTTTTTGAACGGTGTTGTTAGTTATGGCCATGAATGTGCTCTAGATGGATATCCTGGTGTTTATGCTCGTGTTAGCTATTATCTTCCATGGATCAGAAGTAAAATGAGTGCAGCTTAGGTTCTTTTCCTGTTGTATATTGGAACAAGACCTTTTGAAATAAAGAAGGAGTGCATAATATTAAAATAATTCTTCTCTTGTGAACGAAAGAGATGTTTACTTCGAGTTGTTAAAGAAGTTCTTGAGGGTGGGGTGGATGGTTGGAGTGTGAGAAATAGATAATTCCAAGATACTTACACGACGATCGCTTCGACTTCTTGTTGAATGCTTTAGCATTGTGTTGGAATGATGTTGGTTTTTATTATTATTAGGTTTTTGTAGTCTTTAGGCGTGGATCCTTCGATTGTTATTCTGAAAGTTGTTCTTCGATTCAATCGTTTTGCCATTTGCGAGTTTGAGTTTGATACCGTATTGTAATATTTGATTAGCCATGTAGATTATGGTATGTTTTTACTGAAGAGACATTTATTGATGCTCTAGAAGGATGTTTGTGATCAGAATAGTGAAAACAATTGTGGAAACATCAGTTTTGGTTGGAACGGTTTTTTTTATTAATAATGAGTATAGTGTTTTTTTTTCTGTTCTATTTCACAAGTTTTTAGGGGAAGTGCATTAGGCTGGAAAGTTCTTCATCGCTCAATTTGGTTCGATCCTGTTCAGCATCGTTTTCTTTGATTTTTTTGTAAATGAAGAAGTCGTGGAGTGTTCGATTAGTCTTCGTGACAAATTTCACTTTCACATGAGCAACTTTAAAGCCTTGACCTTGATAATGGATTTTCCGCCACGTGTGGAATTGTGTTGTGAAGCGCAGTTGAGGTCCGCTCTAAAATAATGGGGTGCATAGATGATGCTAGGATTCCATGGATTATTTTTTTGCGCAGTATCTCTGGCATTTGTCTCATTTGGTTATTGCATGTTTGAGTTGTCTTTCGCATCGTGTCGGTTGATGAAATAAGGTTTGATGCAGTATTCGATATTGCTCAGCATCTAGTTGTTTTAGTACAGCCATTGTGTCATTTTGAATGAAAAATCGATGAAAATTCTTTGTAATAAAGGTTGGAGGGTAATCGTTCAATAATAATGACCCATCTATGCGAATACATTCCATATCAAAATCCTGAACATTTGAACAGATACGAGCAGCATGTAGCAACGCAGCGTATGCAATGTTACGATGTACATGTTGAGGATGGTCTGATGCATACGGCAGAACATAATATTCTGCGGTTGACTTATGATAAACGGAGGTTGTTAGTTGATCATTATCGTTTGCTTCTATCACGTCGAGAAAACTCATGCATGATTAAATTTTATAAGAAATTCGAATATTTAAGCTTTTTCATAGATATCTTCTGGTATGTCTTGGATTTAATGTCTTAACAAATTGGTGATCATAAAGACACTATCGATATATCTATGTTCAAGATTAATATCAGTATTTATCAAGAAAATAGGTTTCCAGTGTTGGTGTGAAGTGTGAGTGCGTATTTTCTTTTCATTCATATCCATACCCTGTGCAAGAAAAAGAAAAGGTATATTAATATTATTTGATCAATTGGATGATGCTAGACTAAATCATAGATTAAGATCTTCTAATTAGATAAATTATTCTCTTTTTCTTGTAAATGGAGAAGAAAAACTTAAGTATATTGTTGTCACAATCAAACTGAGATAAAATATGTTGAACGTAATCTTCATCGTTGTGTTCTACAGTGACAGGCACTAGTCAGCAATATTACAATAATTAACGAACAACATGATGATTATATGTGGCAAAGAGAGAATAAGTGTATCTCTTGTTGTGTCAGCATAGGAAGCGTTAGATCCGTTCGACACACCCGATTAATTTCAAAGAGACAAATTTTTCTTTCTTGTTTCTTGTATTATTTTGTATCCAAAACAGAATCAAAATTTTTTTTGGATGTCCATATTTTGTTAGAGCTTGTCGAACTCTATCTAATCATATGAAAATCAATATATCAATCGACTTTGATTACTCAAATGTTGCAAGAATATTTTTGCTTTTGCAAAAAACGCAAAGTAAAAATTTTCACTCGAAATTAGATAAAATGACCATTACTTTATAATAAATATGTATTTCAAACTATCTTTTTTTTCACATTCAAGCTTTTCTCTTTCTCTACAAAATGACATAATTTGATCAATACTTTCATATGAGTTTCATATAGATATTCTTGATTTACGAAGGAGGGGTCGAAACTTTGGGACCACCCTTTAGAGTAATCTTCGGTCTGAAAAAGGTGACCGTATGCGATAGGCATTTATCTGCTGTAACTACGCCGTATTTACATCACATTATTAAAACGCCCAAACTTCATAATTAGTTACCATGTGAT